AGAGTGAAAGTGGGATCATATTACCATGGACTTTGTGTGTGGTTTACCTCATACTAGTAGTAATCACAATGCAGTTTGGGTAGTTGTGGATAGATTAACCATGTCAGCACATTTTATAGCAATTCGAATGAACTATTCTCTAGCTCGATTTGCACAGTTGATGTGAATGAGATTGTTAGATTGCATAGTGCACCTATGTCAATAGTGTCAGATCGAGACCTTCGCTTTGTGTCTAAGTTTTGGGGTGCGTTACAGTCAGCTATGGGTACTCGGTTAAATTTTAGTTTATCTTATCACCCTCAAACAGATGGGCAATCAGAGAGGACTATTCAAACCCTTGAGGATATGTTGAGGGCTTGTGCTTTGGAGTGGAGAGGTAATTGAGATGATTATTTGCCACTCATGGAGTTTGCGTATAATAATAGTTATCATTCTAGTTTAGGAGTAGCTCCTTATGAGGCTTTGTATGGGAGGAAGTGTAGGTCTCCTTTGTGTTGGTATGAGGTTAGTGAGAGGCAAATGTGGGACCTGATTTGGTGGAGGATGCTACATAGAAAATTATCACCATCAAAGAGAGATTATTGATTGCTCAAAATAGACAAAAAAGTTATACTGATCATCATAGGAGAGATTTTGAATTCATGTGGGGGATATGGTATTCTCGAAAGTATCACCATGGAAAGGAGTCATCAGGTTTGAAAAAAAGGAAAGTTAAGTTGTAGATACATTGGACCATTTGAGGTATTGGAGAAGGTTGGTGAGGTTGCGTACCATGTTGCTTTACTCCCTAGGTTGGCAAGAGTGCATAATGTGTTTCACGTTTCTATGCTGAGGAAATATGTGCACAGTCCGTCGCATGTGATAGATTATAAGCCGCTTTAGATTAGAGAGGATTTTTTTTCGTATAAGGAGATGCCTGTTTAGATTTTGGATTCGAAAGAGAAAAAGGTTGCATACAAAGGCCATTAAATTAGTTAAGGTACTGTGGCGTAATCATCTAGTTGAAGAGGCAACTTGGGAACGAGAGGACAAGATGCGGGAGCAGTACCCACGTCTATTTTTATGATTTACTCAAGTTAGTTTCGAGGATGAAACGTTTCTTTTAGGGGGGGAGAATGTGAAAACCCGAATATACAAATCAAGTAAATGATTAAATAATAATAATATTACAATCTCAAATATTTTGATGGTAAATCCTAAAGTGCAAATTAAATATTTGGAAGGTCTTTTAATTAATTTTAAACCTAAAATAAATTTATGGTGAAAATCTCTAATTTAAAGGTAATATTTATTATTTAAAAAAAAATAGGGGGCAAGTTAGTATGGATATTTTGATTTAATAATAGTTGTATTTTATTTAAATTAATAATGAGAGGAAATATAATAAAATAAAACATAGGATAATAATTTAGAATCTTTTAAGTTTAGATATATATAAAGCAACCCTAGTTTTCCTAACAAAAACCCTAACCCTTATTATAACTGTTTTCCACATCACTTTCAACATATAGCAGCCACGAGAAGGGGAGAGAGAGAGAGAGAGGGAGAGAGAAATTTCCAGCACCCTTGTGTCTCAACAACTCTCTAAGGTATTAATAAATCTATTCTTGTTCTATTATAATATGTTGTTTACATAGTTATGGTGCTTGTGGGTGTTGTGAGTCCGTGGAAGAAAAAGGAATGGATTGGCTGATTGGGATAGTATTCTAGAAATTTTAATTGAATTCATAATGTTGCTCCTAAGAATATTAATCTGCCAGCAAATTTTAGAAATCATGAAACCATATCAAACGAATGAATTTTGAAGTGAAATTTTTACAGTAGATCAATTACATATTGAATGCATATCTGATTTTTTTGGCCTTGCGTTGATTGTTCCTGTATACTAAGAGAATCATTAATTTAATTAAAGTGCTGCAGAAAACAACCTGTTTGGGCATAATTAATTGTAAATAATTATTTTGATAAGCAAATCAAGTAAAACCAATTGGGTTTGAAACTTAGGATATATTAGTTGATATCTAGAGGGTTTTGGAATTTTCGAACAGCGTGGAGTGGGTTTTGTAATTTTCAAAGTTAGTGAATAGATTGGGAAAGCTTGTTTAAAATTCTATTTTATCTTAAAGTTACTTTTAATTAAATTTCTATCCGAACCCATGTCTTGGGTAATTTTAAACCTTGAAGAACATGAGCTTAGGTAATATTTAAAAGTAACAGTGAGTTGGGTTGAGCCGTGTTAGTACGCTTTAGTTTGGGGTTACTTAGTTCTTATTCTTTAGTATTTTTAAATTAGTAGTGACGTGTAGTTTTCATACTTGGTTCAGGGCACTAGTTGGACTTCCATACTCTATTCGAGGATTATATTATTTTGTTTTCAGGTGAGTAGTTTCATGCTACAAATTTTTATAAATGTTCCCCTACCCTAAACTGTTGGAAAATTAAATTGTTGTTTCAGGACTAAACTGTTTTGATAGATTATTTTATTATCAATGGAATCAAATTATTTCTGAAACATGTGTGAAATTGGCATACTATAAACTATTTGTTTTGGTCTCATGTTTATAATGATGAACTACCATGTTTTGCGAAACTGATGTGTATTGATTATTGGGACCATCTGTGTATTTAGTCCACTGTGTATGGTGACTCTGGCCACTAGGGAACAGATCCGAGTTGGGCCGTGATGACTCTAGTACTCAACGATTGTAAGGAAAAGACCTAGGTTAAGCTAGGTGACCTTCAATCAGATCGTCTTTGAGAAAAAGGCCCAGGTTGCCACCCTGAGGATGACTCTTAGTTCGGTTTTGGATTCAATGGGGCTTATAGCCTTGAGAACTGTGTGGCATATTACTTGTTATTTCTTGGTACCCAGCAAAGTATTGGTGTTCATGTTGTAATCAGTTTTAAGCGAAAAATGTCATTTATCATGTTCTTGAGAGACATGAGTATTTTAACTGTTGAACTGTGGAACCTTCTTTTTGAAACAAATTCTCTTTACCAAACGGTATGCCAATCTAGTTTCTGTGATATATATCTTATTTTGGAATTGAACCCTGTTTTCAAAACTGTATTTACTATCCATGTTGCTACTCACTGAGCTATCAACTGACTTAGTTGTTTATCATTTCCAGGTGTTAGAAGGACTTAGAGTGGACTCCTGGCATAGCGGGGACTCAATTACATGGACCTCTAGGACATTCATTGATTTTGTTTTAGCTTGTTATGTCGGTTTTGTGCATACATTGTGGTTGGATTTTATGTAGAATTATTCTATTTTGTGGGTGATTTGTGTTCCATTTAGTATATATTTTTGGAAGTTGGTTATGGTTGGTTTTACCATTTATACTTGTGACTTGTCATTAGATTGGGTTTTGATTTATTTATTTTTGGGTTATCATCACATTTATTCTTCGTGATTTTGGGTTTATGTTTAAGCTTACGTGTGTCTTGGGCTGAGTCCCTGTGGGCCACACTCGGTCATGCCCGGATTTGAGGTGTGACACTTGGTCAAGATTTCATCTCTACCCTAAGAAGACAATTACTACACTCTAATATTTACAAACTAAACACTCTCTCTCAAGGCCGAAGCCCTTTTCTCTTATCTTGAGTTGTCTGCCCCGAGCTCGGCTCATCCTTTTTATAGGAAAAGTACTTGCAAAGAAAATAAATAATAATAATATAAATTATATTATATAATAATAAAATATATAAACAAAATTAATCTATGGTGACGAAAAGTAGTGAAGAAAATAAATTTCGTCACTAAATAAAAATAATCCGTGACGAATTATAAAACTTTGTCACATATAATAAAAAATAAAAATAATAGGTAACGAAATTTATTTTTGTCAACAAATACTTCTTTTTAGGTGAGAAAAAATTAAGTTTCATTACCGAAGGTTTTCCCACTAATTTTTTTTTGGTGGCGCCAAAATTTTGATACTTTTTGTGAGAATTTTTTGTCACCAATTATAAAATTATTAGTGAGAAAAATATTTTCGTCACCAATAATTGTACACATATATTTTTTGAGAAACTTGATTTTAAATTTTTTAAGACCATTTGGTGAGAAATATATTTTGTCACTAATAATTTTTAATATTTTGAGACTTTTTAATGAGGAAATTATTTTGTCACTAATTTTGAAGGGAAAGTTTTGAAATATTGGACTGTAATAAAAAAAATATACTACTAACTTTCCCTCCCCCCTTCTCATTTTTTGTTTATCAGTTTTCTTTTCCTTTTTTTTGTTGGTTTCTCAGTTTTCCTCTGCCCTCTCTCTCACTCTCTCTCTCAAAATAAAAGACAAGTTAATTAGCTTTCTAAGTAACCTATGGTGATGAAAAGTAGTGAAAAAAAATAAATTTCATCACTAAATAAGAATAATCCGTGATGAACTGTAAAATTTTGTCACATATAATAAAAAAGTAAAAATAATATGTAAAATTTTGTTACATAATTTTAGAAAGGATATGAATAATTCTTAAACATTTAAAAATGAAACAAGAAAAAAAATTAGAAAACAAAACTCAAACCAAACAGGCACCTCACTTTTTTCCAATCCCTCCCAAATTCCCCTCTCTTTTTTTGTTGGTAGGTAAAAACCCTCATCTCTCTCCATGATTTTCACTCGTTCTCTCATGATTGGAAGTTCTCCCTCTCTCATAGTTTCCGCCGTTTGTCGTTGTTGTCATTATGCTACACCTCGCTACTTCATTCTGCTTTGGTAGCTGGTCCCTCTTTGCTCTGTATCCCATCCAAGGAATTTTGGTTTGGTTTTATTTATATTAATACATTGTTCCTCCACTCGGTTTTGGGTTGGAATTCTAGTATTGACCCAGGTTTATCTAGTTTTAGATTTTATAAGAATTTTTACAGAACTGACTTGGTGCAATCTTACCCTTAAGCATGAGATCACCCATGAAGATGGATTAATGGCTCTCTGTTTAGGAAATAGATTAACTTGTTTCATATCATACACAAATTGAAAAGGATATAAGATGGAAATGATTTCTAGGGTTTTAAATGCCAAAAATTGCTATTCTATATTTGAAGAATGTAGTAGAATGCTTTTAATAATGTCAGTGATAAGTTTTAGTGTTCTAATGACTTCATATGAGGAGATTGATATTAACTGGATTGGTTTGGTTTACCAAATGGGAGGTGTTGTTGGGGAAGCTTTGAGGCTTATATTCATGGAGATTTTTGTTAAAATGAAGGGTCTCAAACTAAACCCTATTTTTGTCATGTACTACGTTAGTCCCTGCAGGCATGTATTTTCATCTGCCAAAGTTTAATTGTTATCATTATTTCTTTCACCATTTGATGTTTATATGCAGAACCTTTTTGCCATGTGAACGGAATCATAGTTCTTGTGCAGTGCTCTTTACTTGTTCATTCTGTGGATTTTTCTAGAGAAGCCAAAGATGGACGCCCAAGGGACATGGAGCTTTCAACCTGTTATCCTAACACTCAATTCTCTCTGTACTTTTGCACTCAATCTATCAGTTTTTCTTGTGATCTTGCATACAAGTGATTTGACAATTCTTGTTGCTGGAGTTGTCAAGGATTGGGTGGTTGTCTTACTATCAGCCCTTCTATTTGCTGATACAATGTTGACAATGATAAATCTGTTTGGTTATGGCATTGGTAATTTTTCGATAACAAGTACTTTTGTTTTGGGTTTTCACTATAGTTTATTGTCTCAAAATTTGATATCAGTATTATGATATTTATTTATATATTTAGTATGTCCTTTGTATATTCTCAATGTTGTACTGTTTATATTCTACTGTTATAGATTGTTCACATTGGAAATCAATTCCAAGAAAGTAGAACAAAAAACTGCAGTCTGTCATACTTTAAAAATGGCATTGTATAGGTGGTTATCGTTTGTATTATCCATAAAAATTTATTTTTCTTGAGCTTTATAAAAAATTTGCGTTTTCAGTGTTATGGAATTCACATTTTCTTGATGTGGATACTGTTGCTTATCTGACCATTGAGATATGCCTTTTTTTCATATTTCCGCTGGGGCAATGCTTGGCATATTGTGTGTTGCATTTGGTTTTCTCTTTTTCCTGTACTTTTTAATGTATTTTTTTTTTTCCATTCTCTGATAAAAAAATACTATTGTTTATTTCATCTGCATTTCAGATAGTGATCGTGCTTAGGATCTGGATGAGAACCCTGTTGATCACTCAGAAAAGAAATTTCAATTTTAATGTACTGCAATAATGTTTCTACTGTCTTTAATACTATTTGTGCAAGACGAAAAGATATGTGATTTAATTTTGTTTTTGATTAGACATGTGATTTCATGAAATAGAGATTACCTATCTAGGAAGCACGGGGATGCCTCCTAGGTCGGCATGTCTATGTCTGACATGTGTCCAATTATGCCCTTTTTATTTTTATTTTTTAAAAAGCAGACATGCTAGCATGTGTGAGGCACATCTGTGGCCTTGGTTCAAGTTTGGAAAAAAATAGAGTAAAATGAAAAGAAGTTTTTCATACCAACTAATTACTCCTTCAGGCTTTTTAATTTTTCAAACCATAAAGACTAATAATTTCCAATTTGTTTGTGAATCCTTATGCCTTCTTAAAATATACTTTAGGGTGTTCTCTGTTATATTTTCAATTTTTTTGTCTCCATTTTTTGAAAATTGTAGTTTTAGTATGTCCGTATTATGTTGCATCTGCATCTTGTTTTTACATCTGTGTTTCTTAGATACCTACTGACCTAGCGAAGAAATATGGTTTTTTATGCAGCCATTGCAGGTGTAGCTGCGTATAACAACCACAAGTTGAAAAAGGAAGCTTCTCAAGGCTCCTTTGATGAGTCCCAACATGCTGAATCTAGGCCATTAACTTCATCCTCAACTATTGAAAGTAGATAAATAGAGAGCGGTCTCACAATTTAGTCTGAGGTATGCAACTTTAATTGTTCAATTTGACTCTTCCCTCAAAGTGTAAGGAGTTTGAAGTAAGATTTGTGGCACACACTGTTTGACCCCGAGAAGCCACTGGGTATGCACAATTTCGATTTGATAAGGCTCATTTTGTCAATGGGAATTTGTTGACAATGGGATTTATTTAGGATGAGGTAGCTATTTTAGACATGGAAAATAATCCCACAACTTTGTTGGTAATGACCTGTTGCAAGGATTTTCATGTTCAAGGGTGACGACAAGTAGAAGTTAGTGACTTCAACTGAACCCCTAGAACTTTGAAGATCAATATTAAATTTGTAATATTTTAACAGTTTTAATAGAGTGATATATCTAAGTGAACCCCCTATTTTTTTTCCCCTGAAGCCCCTTCTCTCTGTGTTGAAACTTTGGATTCGATGACTCCAAAGTGCCATCCTTTATGTGTTCTGTTTTTTTTTTTTTATTTTTTTCCAATAATTCTAAAATATTGTGTTTTTTTTAATTATATTTTGTATTTTAGTTTAATATTGGAACTAGGATCTGTTACAATTAGTTTCAATCACAACGGTTGAATTTAGTTCCAAGTTATCACTTGTGAGCTTAATATTATAATGTTTTATTAGATTTACTAAAATGAGATGGAATAGAATAAAATGATTTTTATGGAAGAGTTGGCAGCGATGTATTGATTATCCTTTTAGGTTGGCAATTAATATAGAAAGCTTTGCTTTCAATAAATTAAAGACAATCTATTCCAATCCACTTACTGTTTTTCACTAACCTACCAATGGCCTAGGTTTCCTGGGTTAGGTTACAAGTTTTTGCTTAGGTGCTATCGTCCATGCTACGCAATTGCCTCTCAATAAGCAGACTATAAGATGAACTGAGCTGCTTTGGGAAGCTCTAGCTTCGGTTTGTTTAGAGCTTTGCCAAACTTGTATTATGTCAAATACATAAACCTCAAGCCTAGACTCTAAGCTTCTTTGTTCAATATGTGAGCTTGATCAATGTGTAGCTTGGCTCGTAAGGCCCATTAGCATACGGGTCTGTGAGATAATACCTAAAAGGAAATCTCGTGCAAAAGTGAATCGGTGTCATATGAGAGGGGCACTATCAGAGTGCAAAGGTGTTCATGCTTCAAGTAATAATAATTTAAGTTGCTTTAGGGAAGCTAGTTGTAGCCCTCCGTTAACTTAGCTTATATGGGTGATAGGGAAATCTCAAAGTTGTTTCTAATTATAATAAATGGAAAAACACAAATCCCATATAGCCTTACACTAATTATTTAATTTCATAAACAATAGTAATGTCGTCATGTGAAGTCTTTGACAAATGCTTATTGACTGTTATTCTTATTCTGGGCACCAACTTTTTCTAAATATTTATGAAATATATACCAAATTATGGGTTTCATCTTTTTGGTCTTTTCATGGAATCTAATTATTTGTTGCTTTTGTTGCAGGCAATCAGGTTAAGAAGCTCTGTGACTTGTGCAACATAACTGTAAATAAGAATGTTGTGTTCGGTGACAACAGTGCCTTGTCCCCCGGAGGGGTACGAATTGGTAAGAACTGTTGATTTGAGGGCATCATTTTACTGATAACAGATAGATCTCACATAAGAATGTGAATGAAAGAGTCTTTTGAATTGACTCCTAGAACAACTGACTTTTATGGATTACTACAACATTTTCTTCCATAAAAACCAGTGAATCTAGTAGGGGAGGAGGGAGGTGGACTTGAATTGAAAGTGTGGTTTTTTTTATCACTGAATACTTCAGCTCAAACCCATTTACCCCATTTCCTGAGATAAATGATTTAACTAGGCAAAATGGGTTTTATTCGATTGCTCTAGCCATGTGTTACTCAATATTTCATTAAATGCTTAGATGTCAAAGTGGAATTTAAAGAATAATTGATATCAAAACTTGAAGTTGCTTGCCTGTATCCACCAAATTACATGTCTAGTAATTCTGACATATCTGGTTTGCTGCGCGTGTTTGTTTAGTGATGCCGTAAATTGATTGCTTTCACGATTTGGGTTGATTGCTTTTTAATTTACTCAAAACGTCGAAACTCACTTGTTTTCTGTTGAAATATGAATCAGAAAACCAGATAGTTTGACATTCCTTTCTTTGATATAAATGAGTGAGGAGATTCTCTGTTTGCAAGTACTTCGGCTATGACTTCCGGAGGTTTGTTTGAGAAGGATTTCGAGCAAATTGCAGAGTTCCTCCACCGCTCTGTGACAATCACATTGAAGATCCAAAAGGAGAATGGAAGGCATGCCAAAAAAAGGCTGAGAAGTAAAAATAGTGTACTCCCCTATTAGTTCCCCTGTTCCCAGCACTGGACTTGTTGCACTTGCTGGTATTCATAGAAGTAAAAATCTTCTGAGATGAAGAAGCCTTACAATTTTCTTAATTTAAGATCATGTTGCTCAAATGAAGATAATTAGGCATACAAAACTAAGTTGGTGACATATGTTGTATGCACCATCATATGATTGCATCCTTTTTTATAATGCTTTAATTTGTTTTTATTTCTTCTACTGTCGCCATTCCCATTGCTTTCTCCTTCAAGTTGAGATAACTTACAGATACTTTGTCCATGTAGATAGCAATTATACCACGCACTTAGCAAGGACATGGATGGCTGAGGCCTGCCACCGGAGTGGTTGCGCTTTCTTAAAGTATAAATCAGGTGTCTGATCATTGAAATCTCATTCTGCTATAATATTTTTTGGCTTTCCTGGGTGTATCATTGTATTGTTTGATGTCTTTCTTATTTATTTATTTTTTATTATTATTTTGCTAATTTATATATCAGTGCACATTTATTCTTGTACCGATTTAGAGGGTGACTGGACACTTTACAGAAATGGAACTCCTCTGCTTTATTTTTTTTCTGTTATATTTTAAATGAAATCTATATCTGTTACATTTTAAATATGTTGAATGTTTGATTTTAAATTATTTTTTACAATATTTTGGAGTGATGCTTTTGTCTAATACAAACATATTTGCGCATGTCACTCACATTATATGTATATACACGTTAAAACATAAACTCGTAATGTGAAATATCAATTTTTGTTATGTAATGCATAAAGTGAGGACATTTCAAGACCTTAGAGACATGACCCCACAGGAGCATGCTAAACTGCTGACTCAAGTTGCCAGTTTCTTAAGAAACAAGGTTTTAACGGGCAATTTAGGGGAGGGGCATCCCTAGATCGCTTTTTTGGTAAGTCTATCTTGCTTTATCTTTTTATTTTTCTCATGTTGGTTAGTATATATTGGATGTGTAGCTTGGCTCGTAAGGCCCATTAACATACGGGTCTGTGAGATAATACCTAAAAGGAAATCTCGTGCAAAAGTGAATCGGTGTCATATGAGAGGGGCACTATCAGAGTGCAAAGGTGTTCATGCTTCGAGTAATAATAATTTAAGTTGCTTTAGGGAAGCTAGTTGTAGCCCTCCATTAACTTAGCTTATATGGGTGATAGGGAAATCTCAAAGTTGTTTCTAATTATAATAAATGGAAAACGCAAATCC